CGAGATCGAGCTCTTCCGCGTCTTCTCCCTGTCCTCCGAGTTCCGCAACATCACCGTGCGCGAGGTACGGCCAACAACCGCCACCGGCAGCGCCCAGGGACAACAGACTGCACCCAATGGACAGCACCCGACAACAGACGGCACCCAACAGACAGCACCCAACAGCACCCAATAACAGACTGCACCCGACAACAGACTGCACCCAACACCCGACAGCAGCCAACAACAGACAGCAGCCAACAACAGACTGCACCCGACAACAGACTGCACCCAACAGACAGCACCCAACAGCACCCAATAACAGACTGCACCCAACAACAGACAGCACCCAACAGACAGCACCCAACAGCACCCAATAACAGACTGCACCCAACAACAGACTGCACCCAACAGACAGCACCCAACAGCACCCAATAACAGACTGCACCCAACAGCACCCAACAACAGACAGCACCCAATGGACAGCACCCAACAACATCCAACAACAGACTGCACCCAACGGACAGCACCCAACAGCACCCAACAACAGACTGCACCCAACAACAGACTGCACTCAACAGACAGCACCCAACACCCAACAACAGATAGCACCCAACATTAGACAGCACCCAACACCCAACAATAGACAGCACCCAACAATAGACAGCACCCAACAGCCGTCACTAACAGCACCCACCCAACGACACCCGACAGCACCCAACAGACAGCACCGACAGCACCCAACAGACAGCACCCACCCAACGACACCCAACAACACCCAACAGCAGCCATCACTCAACAGCCATTGACAGCAGCACCCAACAACACCCAACAGCCACCCCCAGCATAACCCAACAGACAACACTCAATACCCAACAACACTCAACACCCGATACCCAACAGCCACCAACCAACACCCAACACTCAACATCTAACACTCAGCACCCAACATCCAGCACCCAGCACAGCCAACAACCGAGATTCAACATCCAACATCAACCCTCCAACACCCAACTCCAACAGCCACACCCAACACCCAACAGCCATCAATCAACACTCATCAACACCCAGCTCCAACAGCCAACACCCAACAGCTGCACCCAGCAACAGCCAACACCCAGTGACCAACAGCCCCAAACCAACACCCAACACCAACCAACAACCAGCACCAATACCCAATAAAATCTCAGGATGGGGATCCATAATTTCAGGATGCACATCTGTAAGTTCAGGCTGTGCATCCATAAGATTTCAGGGTGTGCATCCAAAGCTGCCTTTCCTCACGGATATCCAGAGCAGTTGGGTTTAGTTCCTTCAGGAGCTGGAATTCCCTCCACCCCAGTCATGGATTCAGCTCTCCTGGAGGGAATTTCTGCTTGGAGAGATCCCAGACCCTTTCCCAACTCCCCGAGAATCTCCCAGTTCAGGCAGGGAAAGTGTTTGGACAAATTCTTGGAGAGAGATTTTTGGGAAAAATCAGGAAAAGCTGGAATTTGTGGGTGCTGCAGAGCCATTCCAGAGGGATCATCCCACCCTCCATCCCTGTTTTCCCCCCAGGAGGAGAAGCTGGAGCTGCAGAAGCTTCTGGAACGAGTCCCCATCCCAGTGAAGGAGAGCATCGAGGAGCCCAGTGCCAAGGTGAGCCCTGCTGGGAATTCCTGCTGGGAATTCCTGCTGGGAATTCTGCTCCCTTCCCTCTCTGGGGTGTCCTGGGTGGGGCTGGGAGGCTCACAGGGATCTGGGAGATCTGTGGGATTGGTGAGAGGCTGGAAAAGAGGGGTGGGAGAAGGGAGTTGGGAGCCAGGAAAAGCAGATTTCCTGGGATATTTGGAACCAGAAAAGCAACTTTTTTTTGGAAATTGGGCTCCAGGAAAAGCAATTTTTCCAGGAAAATGGGAACCAGGGAAAACAGCTTTCCTGGGAAATTAAAGGGAAGGAAAAGCAGCTTTTCTGGGGAATTTGGAATGAAGGAAAGCAGCTTTTCTCAGAAATTTGGG